TAAAGTTGTATACTAGGACAGCTTACTAGGACAGCTTACTCCGCAGACATTGCGCATTTCAAATGAGACATTTCTGGATATAACATATAACAATTTTACTATATGTTTAGCAGTTTTTGGTATGCCGTGAAGCTTGTTGGTTGTCGACTTATCGCGGGTCGTGTGGATTTCCATCATGTTTAAAATTGAAAGCTTATCCGGATGCAAAATACTACGGAAAAGGCGTTTGCCAATTTCATAATTACATCCATGTATCTTATAGAAGTGCATTTGCATCGGGCGGCTTGTGGTCGTGGCAGGACCCACTCGCTCGAACCCGATTTCCGACGTGTTTTACATCGCATAATGGTTCTGGGCTGTACATACTTGTGCACCAACTACTACAACAGCGTCACAACAGCTATCGTCGTTTCTTATGTAAAAAAGAAATACAATTATATCGTGGACATGCGCCGTCGGGCATTCCACCGTGACTTTATAACATTAACATGAACGGACACAAACACAATGCATCCTGAAATATATACCCCATAGGGGCAATATTTATACGCTTTTACAGTCCCACAAAATGAATTGCGTTTGATGATGTTTTAGGGACACTACGTATTTTCGACCAGGAGGCTGCGGGAAATGACGAACGTAGCAAAATCACTCTATTATCATCACCAGCCAAGTTTTGGACAGATGTACCCTCACAATCAAAGCAAAGCAGTTTTTGCTCAAAGCACAATACTTCGAAGTAAGAATTAATAATAACTACTGTACTTCGAAGTTGCGTCACACTAGTAGTAGCTCTGATAGATACCTTTCAAAAAACTGTTGACACTGAGCAAGATTTTGAGTTTCGCCATGTGTTTCCAGTAGTTAATTTGATCAGTCAATATGAGGCCAATGGAAAAATACTGTATTTGAAACCAAGTGAGTTTCCCTTCTCTGCGACATGTTTGACTTTCAAACTTTGTACAACTCAGCAAATATTAAAACCTTGGCTCCATTCGTTTTGCTTTAGCACATGGACAGAATTCCTCTAGTTCACTTTTCGTCGGCGGATTTCACGACAACATCCAAGTTAGCGAAGCGTGTAATCTTTGGGGTATCTTCAGAGCGTCTTTGAGACTCCCGAGCAACTTTAGATCATTGCACATTTTGCAGGGCTTGTAATTAATTGCACACGAATAAGGAGGCGACAATGACCAACATTCATCAACGAGAACACCGTTACGTATTTTTAATATAAAATACATATATCATAATTTAAAAAGATAACATCGAAGTATAGCATCAAGTTAATATGAGTTAACATCGATGTTTGTCATAATTTATGACAATGTTAACGATCGAGAAAGTACATGACTTTGTCGTTGAATTGCTGAGCAACGGCTTGTCTGGGCGTGATACATTTAATATGAAAACTGAAGAGATGGCTGCGGGCTATATAACGAGACGTGATGTGTGGCGATTACACTTAATTAGCATGTGTGAAATGACCTCAAACATGCCAAAAAACTGAAATATAGCTTACTTTGGGTGTGATTATATCCCGCAATAAGCATCGTAACACCGTCCATACCGCTTTATTACGTAGTATCAAGTTCTTGCGTTGATCGGTGATCTCTGAGCCACTAAAAAGCATATTAACAGTAAAGACGCATTTTGGCAAAAACTTCAAATATAGAGTGAATGATGACAAAGAATTATTGTCATCGAAATCAATTTGAGCTAGAGTTCCTGTTTGGCCCACCAAAATCAAGCAATTTGATTGGCCAATGCTTGTTTAGCGAAAATCAAACTCGATTGGTCTTGAGAAAACCACGGTTGAATCTCAAGGACCCGTCGAGTTTCGAATTTGTAGTTGATTGGATAAATTAAGTGCGTACTTGTCGGGTATTTGTGAATCCATCTATAGCACTCCTTGCACCCCAGCTTACGCTTGCGCTCGTGGCGATCCTCGTTCATCGCGTCAATGACCGGCGGTGGGTCCTCCGTCGCCTGTTGCAAGTATGCGTCAGCAGACAATTACTGCACTTACGACGTGCGCCAGGAGTCCCTACGCACACTAATCAGTTCAACACAACGCTGGAAAGACCAACAGCGATTGAGCACTACCGCTTCACGATTGACCAGCTCACACTTCTCACTGCAATGTTTTCACTTCCCGATCCCGTCATCACGCCTGCAGGAGATAACGTTCGAGGGCTGGAATCCCTAGCCATGTTGTGTCGTCGCATTGGGGAACCGAACAAGCTACACACGATTGCCAACGAGTTCGGGCGTTCACAAGCCGCTGTTAGTCGCATTGTGCTTTGTGCTGCGCGCATGATATACACGGTATACCCCGTGGCGCCATGCTATATGTAGCTCAACAGTTTCAGTGTGATTCGTGGACCATCTCCCGTATTTGGAGCCGTGACCGTGCATTCTCACGCAATGGCAGGGGTGTTTCCGATATCGCGTCGAAAATTCGAGGTAAAGCCTCCATGATTCTGTATTCTATTAGCTTTCAGAAGTATGAAGTTTTAAGGTTGTACTCATTTAGGAAACTCTGGTCGCAAAAGAACGCGTTCTGCGGACGAGATTGAAGCCGCAATCCGTCAAGTCCCCCAAGAATCGCGGCAAACGATTCGGACAATGGCGTTGAAGTCTGGTATCCCTCGTCGCACGATTGACGCCATATGCAGGAGACTGGAAGTTTGAAGGCCCGGTCAAGTTAAATTAAGCCGTTCCTGACACCCGACAACATTCAAGCCCGACTACGGTACGCATTGTCTTTTCTTTTTCCTTCGTCGAATGGAAGCTATTTTTCTGAAGATATGTACGATTATGTTCATATCGACGATAAGTGGTTCTATTTGACGAAGGTACAAAGAAAATACTATGAGTACGAGGACGAGGAACTGGCAGCCCGGTTCTGCAATCTTAACGCTTCATTACTAAAGTGATGTTTTTGGCGGCCGTGGCTCGCCCGCGTTATGACTTTCACCGGAAGTGAAATTTTGTATGTGCTCTGAACTCGTTGTGATAAATAAAACATTCATTGGTTGAAGTCTCTGAAAGTAGATATCCTACGAGATATGTTTCGAATAAAGTCAGAATCAACCCATATTTGACAGTGACAATACATAACCTCTCCAATTTAAAGGTATCATTTATATAAAATAGACCACCATGGGACAACCTCCATAGATTGATACCTTGTAAGTGCTTGCATTGCCAACCATTTCACACTCCATCCACAGCTACACCATGTCCGGCATCAGTGAAGAAGACTACGGCGACATCACGAATTACATCCGTACGGAGCGGCCTAGAAGTCTAACTAAAGAAGAGCGTTTGGATATTCTCCGTCTTCATGCTCAACTTCGTCGCGACAATGCTCGACAAGTCTCAGCAACCATTGCTCACCTTCTCGGGCGCAGCGAAAGAATAGTGCAAGAAGTTTGGTCAACCTATATGCGTACCAAAGCTGTTGTTGCTGTCCTTCCACCCTCAAACACACAACAACGTCCAACTCGCATAACTCGCACGCATGCAATTTCATCGATGGTGCGACAATACATACGCCAACGCAGTCTGACACGTGCCCGCACTGTCGCCAAGGACGTTATGGCTCTTCTTGTCGAAGCAGGAGTAATCCAGTGCAACACCCAGGACCGCGGAAGCTCTGCAAGTTGCCTCAGAATTGTCCAAATCTACTTGGAGAAGCTCGGCTTCAAACGCGGCAAGCGTCGTGGCAAAGCCACGTACAGTGTCTCTAGTGGATATGCTGCTGCTCGGGACATTTACGTACAAAAGATGAACAATCTCGACGCGAACGCACCGGTGGTATATATGGACGAAAATTACATTCACGATCACTACACGCGCCACCAAGACAGCCTGTTCGACCCCACGGACGACGCTCCTCTCAAGGAGAAACACAAAGGTCGCCGCATGTGTTTCATTGCCGGCATTATGGCTGGTCGGGCAAGTGGGGCAAATTCGAAGGACATCGCGCTTGACATATTCGAGGGTGGGAAAAAGTCCAAAGACGATCCAAAGGACTACCATGCAATGTTTAATCACACGTACTTCGTGAAATGGCTGGAGCGCATAATACCTCTGAAGATACATATTTATTACTAGTTTTTTATGCGACCATGGACTGAAAAAAAAGACACTCTTCCTCTCAAATGCAGTATTTATATTTTAACCTAATCCTTATTCCCTCGATGCCTTCGACCACTGTTAACATTTCGCAGTATTATTTTGTATAATAATTATCGTTAGGAACCAAGCAATTCATCGCTAGACCAACTCCTCGGTTAAACGTTCACGTCCCGAACGAAAATCTCCAGCAGGCGGTGTACAATGGGCACCCGCGAAGGCACTGCCTTAATTGGCAATGTGTTACAAGTCCGGATGGTATTATTGTAAGTGTTTACGGGCCGGTCGAGGGACGTCGCCACGACAGCACAGATCTCAGTTACAGGAAAATACTTGATGTGTTCCGTGCGGACGGGGCAGGACTGGTCGACGGAAGTGTTGTGTACGGTGACCCCGCCTACGGATGCAATTAATTCCTTATTTCTCCGTTTGCTTTCTCTGGGACCGATAACAGACAACGCCGGTTCAACTCTCAAATGAGCAAGGTGCGGAAAGCCGTCGAATGGAGTTTTGGTCGGCTCAAGATCCTCTGGCTGTTCGTCTTTGACTCCAAGAAGATGTAGGTGTGCAGAACGCCTGTGGAAAAGCTGTTCTACGTCGCGGCGCTTTTCACCAACTGTCATTGTTGCATGCAACGCATGGGCAACCAAATTGGCATGTACTTTGATCTGGACCCGCCGAGCATTGATGAATTTGAATACCTTGGACTAGTTTAATACTATTTGTAAATATTGCCGATGCTCGATAGTAGTACCATGATTGTTAAAGAGATATTATTGAATTCTTGTATATTTGTTAACCAAATTAAGCGGATATATTTTCACATAATGTTGACTTAACGCTTCTGCATTGTGCTAACTAAAAGCTACCAAAAATTCCTGCATTTGTTTGTCACGGACAAGATCTCGTTCATGCTGTTTACGGTCACGCAAATCTTCCCGACGCGAGCGTTTAACTTCACGCATGTCTTCTTGTTCGAGCCGGTCTTTTAGAAATGACATCACCATCTTGAGACATGGGTCTTCGCCCGTGACGTTATCCACTGCGGTCGTAATGTGCTGCAAAAAGTCGACCACTCTTGTTCGCTGTAATGGCGTGCCCGATTCGCTTCCGTCGATGGCATCCTTCGTCTCCATTTCCAATTTGCGCATCATAACGCTAGATTCCTCGATGACGTTCTTCTTCTCCCCGAAGTCGTTGACTTGTGACAAAAAATCCTCAAAGAGTTGCTCGCATTCGCCAAATTCTTCATTCGTCCTGCTTCGGAGCATTGTGGCATAAATACGCTTCTTGTACGCCTTTGTCAGCTTGTCGAAGCGGGTCTTGCAATCTTGCCCGTCTTTGTCCCCCTTGTCCACCTTTAAAACGTCGGTTTGCCTTGAGGTCGCTTGGTATGTCCGTCCATGACTTCATGAGCGATCCAGACGAGGCTCTGCAGGGCTTGGCGTCGTTGAGGAGTGTGATGTCGTCGCTGCAGCCAAACGACTTCAATTTCGGATAGAAGTACCTCGATATTGTGAATAACGTAAACGGCCACTTTATGGATACTTTTAATGAGGCGTTGCTGGAGAATTGGCATAACTTCCTGAAAACTGGTCATATTTTGATTTCGATTCTTGCAGCACCAAGATGAAACGCAGAACAATCCAGTATGACTCACTCCATCGGGTCTTGAGGGAATTGTTGTGTGCAAAACAACCAATTTTCAAGGAAATTACACTTGACTTGAGTTGACGGTTTATGGATACTCTTTTATACTTAAACTATGTATGCTCTCTTGCATACTTTTTGCTAGGGTAGGGTATTGAAATTCAACGGGTAAATAGGTATTTGAGGCAGGTTATTGATTCAAAGAGTCGGCCGCACATTCCACATTTTACCAAAAGACCCAAGATGACCGCAACGGCAAACCTAGCCACATCAAGTGAAGTACACAAAAGGTATGAATGTATTGCTTCATCTAGACAACAACACTGTCCACTATGTCGTCTTCGTCTGATCGTGGAGACTCGTAGTCTGAAGAGTCCGTCGATGTCGCTCCCGTCGCGCGCTTGGCCTTCTTGGGTCCCCGTTTGCCCTTTCGCTTTGCCGCGCGTTTCTTGCGCAAGGCCAGCTTGAGCTTGGTGGCCTCGGCACGTTCGGCCTTCGACTTGTCGATGTCGTGCAACAGCGCCAAGGTAAGAATTCTCCCACCCACGTCGATCGTCTTTCTGGTTGATCGGGTGTTTCCTTGAGGGGGCAGAGTCAGGATCGCCTTGCGCATGACAGCGCGGCGCTCGAAAGTC